TTCGAATCTGAAATCAAAATAAATAAAAATAAAATGGCCGATCCAATATTGCGCCTGAAATTAAAAATATTTATTAAACTCGCGTAGTATTGAGTTTTATTAGGTCCTTTAAGTTATTATCCAAAATTCTTAAATAAAAATGCTATTAATAATAATATAATCATGTTTACGTGTATCTCACATGAAATTGATTGAAGAAAAACTTTCAATATTATTGCGCTTCAAAATCGCATCTTAAACAAAAGGTCGGATACGGTCGGATTCAAAATTCAGTATTATAGTCTAAAAAATATATATAAATTAATGCTGCTATAACTTCTGTTGTTTGTTGTTTTTCCATTTTTCCTAACAAACAAATCGCGGTACAAAGCTCAATAATACTATATAAAATATAGTATAGAAATAAATATTAATACGCCACAATAAAAATTGACAAATAAATATTTTGGGATGAGCCTGCCCTAAAACCTATGCAATGAATCTATTTAATGTATGGAATTTATCAATAACAACGACGCTGTCAAGCTTAAATTGCGGCGAATCAGCTGCACTTGATAGTAGTAAGNTCTTAAATAAAAATGCTATTAATAATAATATAATCATGTTTACGTGTATCTCACATGAAATTGATTGAAGAAAAACTTTCAATATTATTGCGCTTCAAAATCGCATCTTAAACAAAAGGTCGGATACGGTCGGATTCAAAATTCAGTATTATAGTCTAAAAAATATATATAAATTAATGCTGCTATAACTTCTGTTGTTTGTTGTTTTTCCATTTTTCCTAACAAACAAATCGCGGTACAAAGCTCAATAATACTATATAAAATATAGTATAGAAATAAATATTAATACGCCACAATAAAAATTGACAAATAAATATTTTGGGATGAGCCTGCCCTAAAACCTATGCAATGAATCTATTTAATGTATGGAATTTATCAATAACAACCACGCTGTCAAGCTTAAATTGCGGCGAATCAGCTGCACTTGATAGTAGTAATTTGCATAAGGAAATGGATTAGCAACAACAGCTTACTGGTTGTGCATAGTTCAGTGGTTAGCACTTCTGACTTTTGCATCGATGACGCGGGTTCGATCCCTGCGAAAAGTCTAGAAAAAAAGAAGTCTGAAGAGTAGATGTGGTGATCTCCGATATAGCTGCTATAACTTCTACCGCTTAAGCAAAGTTGTTTTTCCATTTTTCCTAACAAACAAATCGTGCTACAAAGCTCAATAACGCTATTGAAATAAATATTAATACGCCACAATAAAAATTTACAAATAAATACAGGTTTTATTTTTGAAACACGGTGTTCTGGACGGGGTCAAATTGGGGGCCGGGCCTCTCGAATTCCGCGGCAAACGAGGGTCGAGGAGGTGCCGAATCCCTGAAGTCCTTCGGGCTTGATTACAATTCGAAAATTCGCTTAACAAAATTAAAGGAAATAAAACAATTTACTTTTCACTATATATGTATATACTTATATGTGAGTGCCGGCCGGCCATCTTATTGCATACATATGTTCAGTATAACAAAATGCTGTAACAAAAGGTTATAAAATGTATTATTAATTAGAGGACCTTACTTGATTGTTCGGAGTTGTCTTCCAAAGTGGCAGAGTGTTGGGTGCTCGCAGAAGGTGAAACCCAACATCCGAGGCGGGTAACAGGACTCGAGAAAAAGGAACTCGAGTACGAGTAACTGTTCCCGCTTAGATCACAGCGACATCTACAAGTGAAATTTTCTAATTAATAAACATACTTAAGGTGAAGGGGGCTAGCGTAAACATGCCGCCTGCCGTGCAGTGTCGCTGCAATAAACTTAACTAGGGTATTTACAATTAATTTTTCACTTTACAATTCATTTGTACTTCAATTTCTTTAACAATTCATCACATTTAAAATTACAATTTAGATATGTCTGAGTTGACAATTAGTAGATGGTGCCTCCTGAAATCATCCATCCAAGTACGGTGTTCTGTGAGCCGTGACCGTAGGATCATGGCATATCCCTGTAGGGAAACGAAGTAGTGCGGAACTGGTTCGGTTCTAGTGCGTTTGGAACCACGACTAGTACGCGTTAATTCTCTTTTGCATGCTAGCGACTGACGAATTTAACATTGCGATGTCCTAGGAAGTGTCAATTGTCCCCCGTTGCATCCCTTTGGCTCTAGTTCCGAACCAGTTCTAAATTCGACAGATAAGATCTAGGTCGTTTTGCATCCCTTTTTCTATAGTTCCGAACCAGTTCCAAATTCGACAGATGAGATCTAGTTCGTTCTGCATCCCCTTTTCTTTAGTTCCAAACCAGTTCCTAATTCGACAGATAAGATCTAGTTCGATCTGCATCCATTTTTTATGTGTAGTTCCCAACCTGTTATAAATTCGTCACCTTAGATATATATTTCTAATCAGGCTTGTCGAAACATTTCCCTTTTATATTAAATACGGTCGGTTGAAGGAAGGACAATACCATCACAAATGTTCAAACGCATTTATTAAAAATTTATAAACCACATTAGTAGTAGTAGTAGCATTAAACTTAAGTGGTAAGTAAAAAACAAAAGTGCGTTCTGCTTAAAAGCAAAAATATTGGTCCCCTTTGTCTTACTTGTCTAAATTTAAGCATATTGATTTTTAAGTAAATTCAGTTCTTTTTAAGCTTATATGTATATGAAGTACTTCGAAAATTTTTGTCGTACTTAACTTAAATAAGATATACAGTCAGTCAATAAAGTTTAGGTACAGTGAAGTTTTTACAATACCGGCAAGTATTTTTTAAATATTTTTTTCTCCCTAATTTTTTATAAAAATATGGTTAATTCTACACCAAAAACCCCAAAAATCAGAGTTCCAAACCTTATGCAAAATTAAAGAAAACTCTGCGAATTTCTATCCAAGTGTTGCAATTTACACTCTTTAGAAAAAAGTTAAGTATTCAGTTATTAGCCCATTCAATTTTAGTATAACAAAGTGCAAGTTTGAGGTAGCTAGGACTTACTATTGATATTTAGCAATTTTTGTTGTTGTTTGGTAAGTCCTAGCTTCCTCATACTTGCACTTCATTATACTAAAATTGAATGGGCTAATAACTGAACTCTTTTTCTGCAACTGCATTGCCTTTCTCAATTGTCCTACAGGATCTTGGCCGACGTATCCTTTTGAGAGGTAGCCGCACCCTTATAAAAGGAATAAGACCCAAACTTTTCAGGTAAAAATTTCAGTACGTTGCGTCTTTATGGCCTTTTCAATTTTATAAATTATCATTATTTTTAAGTGGAAAAATAAAACTGAAAATTAATGATAATCTCTGCGCGAAAAAATAAAAATCATAAAATAATCATTATTTGTAATCCCACAAATGAAAATCAAATAATAATTATTTCCGTTTGAGCGAAAAAATAAAACTCAATAATAATTCATAAAATAATGATTAAATGCTGATTTAAATTATTTTATTCATAATGATTACCTTCCCTGCTTTTAAAATTTAAAATAGAATTAGTGAAGGTACCACATTTCACTGCTTTTGGACTGGTGCGGAACTAGTTACTATCGGACTGGTTCGTTTTTGGCAAAAAATAACTAGTACTGAACTAGAAATCTGGTTCAATAGTTCGTGTTTTCCCTACAGGGATACTTCAGCTCCTAACATCAATGACACCGCGCTGGACTGGTAGAACGATGGGTCGGCCAGCCGAATATTGTCAAACTCGCTGGTGATCCGTGCGTCCAGCGCCGACCTCCAGCCTCTCGTGCCATCCTGTGAAGGTGAGCCTGCACATATCTGCATAGCTCCGGGGTAAAAGCTGAAGTCGGCGTGCTAGCTGAAGCGATATTATCGACCTGGGCTGAGCTGGGTCGACGATGGCGCCCACTACTTGTTTCCTCCATCGGGAACCCATCTTAACCGCTACTATGGCCGTGAGGACAGAGCCCAGGAGCACTGCGGGCCGTGCCCGTAATCCGCTCTCGGGTGTCTCTCACACCTCGGCGATGGGGTTGTTGCTGGGATCGCCGTGGGCGTCGGTGAGCGCCTCGGCGCTTCGACCTCGTTGCTGAGGCTCGCTGCTCTGCCGACCGGACACCCGACAGAGCAGGTCTGAATACCGGCGGGGCGCTGAGTTCGGGAGCATCATCCGTCGAATTCCAGCAGAGAGATACGATTATTATTTTGTTTTAGCAATCTGGTAAAAGTACCAGTTTTATAATTGGTCATGTTATAAGTCCGCGTGCCGTTCGTATTTCTACGACTCGTACTCGGCTGTCCTGACCTGAAAATACCCTAATTACTCTGTCAAGCCGCCATTCAATTGGAGGGAGGTTATCCTCTTTGACGACGACTAGATCGTCAACTTCGAGGTTTCGTTGTGGGAGTGCCATTTCACTCTCTTCTGCAATTCCTTCAGGTATTCTTCTTTCCACCTTCTGTCTGGTGAATCACTTTTATCTTTTGTCACCAGTTGACAACAGACATCGGGTTCTCTTTAATTTCGGGTTCAGCAATTGCCAGTATCGGGGTGCCAATTAATAAGTGTCCTGGGGTTAGAGACTCCATTGATTTCGCGTCTTCAGAGATGGGGCTGATTGGTCGTGAACAAGATTTGATTCTTGCCAACAGAGTAAAAAGCTCTTCAATGGTAAAACGCATGTTGTTCGCTACCTTTCTGAAATGCATTTTTAAGCTATTTACCCCCGCTTCGCAGAGCCGTCCCATGTGGGGTGCTCCTGG